TTTAATGATATTTTACGAGTTTTAAATGTAAAAGCAAAACTTGCGCCCTCAAATTTAAATACGCAAAAAAATCCAATGAAAATGCTAAAAATATATTTAAAAAAGTTATAAAATAATAAAAATAATAAGAAAAAAAAATTAAACAATTTTAAAACATTATTAAATTATTAAACTATTTTTTCAAAAAAAAAAAAAATAAACTAAAAACTTTTCCATTAATTTTCCTTTTTACTGAGTAAAGTTTAATTTATAAGCATTTTTAGGGATTTCAAAAATCAAAAAAGTTTAAGAATTAAAGAAAATATTCCAATACTTAAAAGTACAAGTTTTAAATAAATTTGAAAATTATCTTTAATATGATACAATATTTTTGTATTCAAAAAAATATATATAACAAATTTTTCCTTTCGTCTGTAGAGAATTCTCAACTACCAAAGATGTTTTTAATTTTAAAAATAAAAAAAAACCTTAAATCCTAAGTTCTAAAAATTCATAAAAAAATGTTTGAAAAACAATTAAAATCATTCAAAAAGTTTAGCAAATTTAAAGAAGTTTTCATAAAAATATTGAAATTATTAAAAAAATAATTAAATAAATATTTTAAAAAATTCTAGTTAATCAAAGCACTAAAATAATTTTAATTCTATTTGCTTTTCACTAAGGAGCTTTGCTATGTCTTTTGTAGATTCGACAAGCAACTATCTACTATGAGCTACTCCCATAAGGCGAAACTCTTAATTCAGACCTGACTTAATGAAGCAAACCTCTAAAAACGAGGGAAATTTGTTTCATAAGGAAAACGCCAGACCACACACATCGTTAGTGCCTCACCAGAAGCTTTGGGAGCTTGAGAATATGAAGCCACCTTGTAGTCCGGACCTGGTGGTGAAGTGGTTACCATCTGCTCCTGTTCATGACGTACAGTTTTGCTGGTGAAATATTAGCTTCAAGAGTGGCTTGTGAAGATCGACTGTCTCTACTTTTTTCCAATAGGAAAGAGGGCTTCTATGAGAGAGGCATAATGAGATTACCTTCAAATGGCAACAACTTATCGAACGAAACGGCGCATATTTGAACTAAATAAGATCATTCATACTATGGTAATAGAGGCTTTTAATTTCATAAAAAAATAATGGATTACTTTTTACTACATCACATATTCCGAATCAAAACTCATTTAATTTTTACAAATTGAAACCGAAAATTTACGCATTTTGGTGGAAGCAGAAATGCATTTGCGTCACTTTAATTTTTAACATTTCATATATTATAAAATATTTAAAGACTTTACGCTTGGCAGCACATTCGCCATTTTTCCTTACGACCTTCGAGTAGAATTTCTTACGCTCCAACACCGTGCTATCTGAACCAAAACAACACTTTATCAGAATTTTTTTCTATCTTTTTTTTTTATATTTTCTTAAATGTTCTTTTGTCATTTATTCCCTCTTTTTGCGTTCTTTTTCTTTTCTCGCCATCTTGCAACATTGTGATAATTAATGACGCTAATTGGAGTACAGTGCAACCGCTTGAGTGTTGTTAATATTTCTACTGCCACTACTACTGTTGTTGTTTATGCTTTTGTTGTATTTTTGTTGTCGCTGTTCAAGCAGCAGCTAGTGATTATGATTGTTGTGGCAAACGTTGGTAGAGTAAATAAGCTAATGCTTAGCAACGAGCACATACATGCATATACTTACATCCATACATATACATATATATATGTATACATATATACATATACAATGAACAGCATAGAGTATATACAAGCAGTGCTCGTAGCACTGCGGCTAGCTTGCGGTGGCATGTTGCACGTTAACTGGCATAAGCCAAATGATGGCACGTGAACTCTTAGGCATGCACACACACCAACAGGCGCTATCTGTGTGTATGCGTGTGTGTGTATGTGTTGGTCATTGTAAGCGCTGCTGTTGGTCGCAATCGCATAGTGGTGTTAATGAAAATGGCGGACAAACAACCACAGCGTGCGGTCACTATGAACTTTGTTGTTGTACCCGCCCGCCGTGGAGCTGTAAAATTATATCAGTTTATTAGAGCTTGAAAGCAATGGGAAATTAGTTGAATTTATTGCAAACCTCACTCACTGCGACTATAGGTATATGTATGTAAATATGTTATATAACGGTAATGGTTTGTCTAATTTGCTTGTGGTTGAATTTTACTTAAAAATTGGGAAAAGAAAGTATTACCGAAATTTTGGCATCCGAGAAAGTCGTAAAGTGATGAGAAGCTCACGCATGTGCGGAAAGTTTCTGCTTGCCATTATCCTGGGTACAACGAGATAAATCTGCTTGGAGATGTGTTGAAGAGACAAAGCGAGTTGGCCTGGTGCATAAGAAATATACTCCAATGATATATCACAGAGAGCCTCGACTGAGACAGCCACCCGTTTGATGGCGACCCACGCAAATATTTGAATCCACGTAAGCATTTGAAGAATCAGCATTCGATGGCATCCAACCAGAATGTTGGAAGGTGCTACTGCCCAGATGCTTCATGAACACGTAAGACTACCGCCGTCCAAGAAGTGCGCTGCACGGGACCAGCATGGAAGACAAAGTGCAAATTCGGTATGGGATTGCCAAGTACAGGCATTCACTACAGTGGATGACCGGCTCACCACAATCCGCATCAAAGCGAAATTTTTAGAAAACTTGCTGATTTTCGTCCACGCCACGACGGAAGGAAGCACGATGTGACCTACTATAAAACACCTAGTATGAGCGCTTAGGGTGAACATGCGAGTGCTGCTCCCTCCATGATCGATCTGAATAATGTACTTAGCGACTTGAACGCCAGGGTGGCCAAAGAAGGCACAAAAGTTGGGAAGTTTAGATCAACTGATCAGCTGCGCCGGGTATTTCTGGCCAGCGAAGATATATACCTGCCTCTGTGTATCAGAGAACGTCCGTCAAGAAATACAAGGAAAGTTCGTGTTTGAAAACACTATAAACAATTGAACGGTTTTCTTATCGACTTGCACACCTGCTGATTCCAAGTCAGACCGAGTTATTTACGATTAAAGATCTATGACTGTCAATAGCGACTTGTCTTCTTTAGCTTGGCTACTTTGTCCTGCCTGAAGAAATCGGAACTAACAGATCCCAATATCATCAGCGTACGCTAGCGGCTTGAGTTCAGTTTTCTCCAGCGTCAAAATGAAGAAACCACACGATAAAGGCAACCTTGCCCTGCGTTACTTTACATAGCCGTAGAAGGCTTGGGGGGGGGGGTAGACGCAGCTCCGTTTCGTGTTGTTGAGGTCAGCTTCAGAACGAGGCGGAAGAAAAGAAGCATAAGAAGGGAGAAGAGGAAAGAAGAAAAAGGGAAGAAAAGAAAGTAACAAAAGGAGAAGGAGATGAAGTTCATCGGCACTAGAAGGATAATAAGGAGATAATGAAAGAGAAAAGTAAAAAAGTAAGGTGAAGATGAATAAAGAGAAGATGTCGATGAAGAAGGAGAAGAACTCGAAGAAGAAGGAAGAAAAAAATGAAAGTAGCAAAAGGAGAAGAAGAAGAATAAGAATAAGAAGAAGAAGAAAAATAAGAAGAAGAACAAGAAGAAGACGAAGAATAAAGAGAAGAAGAAGAAGAAGAATAAAGAGAAGATGTCGAAGAAGAAGGAGAAGAAGTCAAAGAAGAATGAAGACAAGGAATGGAGGTAGCAAAAAGGAGAAGAAGAAGAATAAGAAGAAGAAAGAGATGTCGAAGAAGAAGGGGATGAAGTCGAAGAAGAAGGAAGAAAGAAATGGAAGTAGCAAATGAGAAGTAGAAGAAGAATAAGAAGAAGGAGAAGAATGGGAATAAGTCGAAGAAGAAGGAAGAAAAGAAAAGAAGTAGCAACAGGAGAAGGGAAAGAAGAAGAAGAAAAGAGAGAGGGAGAAGAGGAAGGAGAAGAAGAATAAATAGAGAAGAACAAGTAGAAAAAGATTGGAATAAGGAAAGAGAAAAGTAAAACGGAAAATGAGGAGAAGGCAAAATAGAAGAAAAAGCAAAGGAAGAAAAAAATATGAAAGACGAAAACGAAGAAGAAAAGAAGACGGAGAAAAAACTTGAGGACCTAGAAGAAGAGGAAGAAGGAAAGAAAGAAAAGGAGAATAAGAATAGAAAGAACAGGAGAAGAAGAAAAGAAAGAGAAGTAGAAGAAGAAGTCAAGAGAAAAATAAAAAAAGAAAATGAAGAAGGAGAAAAAGGGGAAGAAGTAGAAGAAGAAAGAGTAAAAAAAGAAGAAGGAAAGGAAGAAAAAGAGAGGATAAAATAAGAAAACGGAGACGAAGAAGAAAACAAGAACAAAGAGCAAGAAGAAGAAGAAAAAGAAGAGAAAAATAGGAAGAGAGACAGAAAGAGAAAAGAACGAAACGAAAGCAAAAGAGAAAAAAATAATAATAAACTATATATTCATTACTTTCACAAATTCGTCCACTTATCACTCACATTCTAACACTTCAGCCAGCCAAATCCGCTTTTATCTGCCACCCGCGAATGTAGTGCAACAATTCATGCAAAATCATCTCTTCTTCACGTGATGATTTTCTCACATTTTCGTTTTCTATTTTCGCAAACTTTTCTTGCAAGCGCATGCAACTTTTCGCAAAAATATATTAATTAGACTTATTAGAGCAAAGAAATGACCTAAAACTCAAACAAACAAACGCGCACTTACAACAACCAATGGCATTAGTACTGGTGCCAAGTATCCGGAGTTGTTGGAAAAAATATTATTAAATTAAAAAAAAAAATTCATAAAAAAAAAACTTAAAATTTTTTTGTATAAAAATTGCGCTTTCACTAAATAATGGCGCTTCTTCTTCTTCTTATTTTCTAATATTATTATTATTATTATTATTATTATTATTATTCCGCCCACCTTTTGTTGGCTTTATTTTGCGCTGCCAGTGAATGAACGAGTGCAGTGAATGAGTTTTCACTTGAAGCAAACACAATTAGTTCACTTTTCAATCTCATTGTGAAATACCGTGAATTTCGCTGTGTTTTTTTGGGGAAAAGTTGAGATTTCGAGTGCAGAAATAATTGGTAATATAATTCGTTCGGTTTCGCTTTTGTTGCGTGAAGATACTGAGGAGTTGTTGTTTCTAAAATAATAGTGAATACTAAGTGCGAAATATGAAAGTTTCGTAAAATAACGGTGTTATTAAAATTAATAAGCAATAGTGTGGCGTACAAAATTTGAAGTTTTCGCATTGAAATGTAAGTTAATGGCAGAGTAACGAATTCGGTGAAATATTGAAGCACTTTGATGAAAGGTGCTACGGAAATGCTTTTGAGAAAAGTAAATTCAATGCAAAGTTGGGGTGATTTTGTTAGTGTTTTCACATTAATTTTCACATTAATTTTGAATTCTTTTAAATTTTTTTTTGCAAGTAAATTACTTACTTTTCAATTCGAAGGCATTATAATAGAATTATTTTACAAACTAAAATATTTTTAAAATAAAAAAATTAAAAAAAATGTTTTTAATTAAAATGTGGAATTTTCATTTAAGCTGCTTTTTTAATAAAAAAAAAAAAAAAATTTGAAATATTTTAACACCAAAATAGGCAATTTGCAATTTTTCAATATTTTTGCTGCAAAAACTCTAAAGGTCAAACGGAAATTATTATTTTATATTCCAAATGTATTTTCTATTTATTTAAAATATTTAAATTTGAAAAAAAAAATTAAAAAAAATATTTTTACTGAAAACCGTAAATATTTCGGTTAGCAGCTGCCAGTATTTGACCTTCATTTTCATTAATCCGCTTTTAATTGTAACTAAATGTTAATTAGTCAGCTGTTGCCTGAGTAATATGTAAGCATTTGGGTCAAGCGGAAATTAGTTGTCTAGTTAGACTAATGGAAAAAAAAATGGAAAAATGTTTGCGTGAAATGAAATGTAAAGTTTTAATTGTGTTTATTTGTATATACATATATACACAATATATTATATATGAGCATATAGATTTTTTATTTCAAATATTTTAATTAACAATCAAGCTTTAAGGCTTTAATAAAATTAATTTATTGCGAAATTATTGAAATTTTTTTTAATGAATTTCGACTTAATTTTAACGCTGGAAATGAAAAGTGTTGAGAAAGTGTAACAAAACTCTTGCTGAAATTCTCGTAAGTTTTGCAGAACTTTTTTTTTACTGAATTTATTGAGTTTTGGAATTTAAAAGGTACTTAAAAGTTCGGCAATGTTGAGTCTTGAGTTTGAATTTGTGTGTTTTATAACTTCAAATACCTTTAAATTCGCTTAAAATATTTAAATCAGTAACTTCTATGTTTTTGAATTTTCATTTTGAGTTTTTTGTGGTTAGAAACTCTCTCAAATTTTCTATTTTTCTCTGACTTCAATGAATTTTGAGGGTGTTTTTATTTTATTTATTTTTTTTCTGAAAATTAACAATTTTAAATTTCCTTTTTATGACTTAAATTGTGTGACTATTAAATACCCGATATAATTTTTAATTAAAAAAAAATTGTTGTTGTGGCACTGAGTTTTGAGCTTGAGGTTTTTATAGCTTGAAATGCTCTCAAGTTCTTTCTCACTCCCCGAACCTAGTGCTTGAGGTTTTTATAGCTTGAAATGCTCTTAAGTGCTTTCTCACTCCCCGAACCTAGTGCTTGAGGATTTTATAGCTTGAAATGCTCTTAAGTTCTTTCTCACTCTCCGAACCTAGAGTGTCAAAAATTTTATAACTAGATTTTAGATTTATTTTCGGTCTTATAATTTGGTCAATTTAAAATATCTAAAGCGTTTTTAATTAAAAAGAAAAATTAGTTTAGAGCTTGAGATTTTTTTGAGAGTTGAGTATTGAGTTTAGTCTTTTTGTAGCTTGAAACGCTCTGAAGAACCACTCAAATGTTTTGGTGGTTGTAAACGTGAACGCACTTAAGGTTTCAGCATGCTCTTTGTGCTCCTTCATGTATCCCAATTGGGAACTTAGCCCACCTTTGCTTAACTTAAAGAACAATTTGGTCTGTCTACTATCCACACTGCGCAAAAACAATTTAGTTGTATGACCAACGGGACATACACTTTTGGTTCACGATTTGAAACTGTTCGAAGGCGCTGAAGGGTCTGAGGCAGTCTATGGCGACAGCCTCATCAGCACCGCCGCGTGAACTGCCTCCTTTATATTTCGTTGCCTTCTACATTCGTGTTACCTGGGACTCAAGTGATATTCACTGTGTCTTCCTGCGATAGTCTGTTAATGGCTTGTTTCCATGTTCTAATGCATTTGGACTTTATGACTTTAAGGTCTACCAGAAACCTTTTAGATTGTCCCTTCAATACGGTTGCTCAGCTACCATCTCTAGAATGGGTTTGGTATGCCGAGTGGTAGTCACAGAGTTTGAAGGCATCTCGGTTACTGATGTGGTCACAAAAGTACCCTTTCCTTACATTTAGAACCATTAGTAGATATATGAATATCGTCATTGCGACCAATGGGTTTGCCTTCTGTTCATTTGGCTCTATAAGGAAAGGAGTAAATGGTAAAATATCGCAAGCTTTCTGAGTTTAGTGATTTATCGAATACTCGTGTCATTTTGACTGGAAAAAAAACTATTTTGAGTTATGAAATTCTTAGTTTGAGTTATTAACCCCTAGCAATTCTCTTCATTTTCTCTTTACTCTCTTAATTTACAGGTTTTTAAGTAATTGAGATTTTTGGCTAATTTTTTATGGATTGAAACACTCTTGAGATTTCTCTCCCTCTTAAACCTTAAACTCAAGGTTTTACAAGCGAATTCTTCTAAAAGTTATTCCCGTTAGTGAATTTTGCATTTTCGGTCAATTTATGATTAATTTTAGTTTCGGATTTGGCTTTTACTTTTGAAAAAAAGTTTAGAATTGTTGACTCATGAGTTGAAAGCTTTGAGCTTTGAGCTTAAAGTTTTAAAATCTAAATTTCATTGCGTTGAATATTTGTCGTTGTCTTTATTGAGTTTTGAGCTTTTTGTTTTGAAAATCGAGTTTTTGAAGTATTTTGAGTTTTAGTTTTGATTATTTAATTATTATTCAATTCGGAGATCGAATTTTGGTATTTTTGACTTCTATTTTTCAGTTTTGGATTATATTTTTTACACTTTTTCGTGTTGCATTGGTTGCGGTGGTTGAGTTTTGAGCTTTTTGTTTTGTCATTCGAATTTTTAGTATTTTTAGTTTTGAGTATTTTGAGTTTTAGTTTTGATTACTGGGTCTAGGATTCGAGTTTTGAATATTTTGAGTTTTAAGTACTTTGAGTTTTGAGTAGTTTGAGTTTTCTCTCAATACAGAAAACTCAAATTACTCAAATTTGGAGATTGAGTTTTGATATTTTTGACTATTATACAATTTCAGTTTTGGATTTTATTTTTTACACTTTTTTGTGTTGGATTCTTGAGTTTAAATATTTAGTTTTTCTAGATTAAAGGATTTGCGTTTTATTTTTGCTTTTCCTAATTTCGAATTATTTATTTTGTATTTTTGAGTTCAAAAGTTTAGAAGTAATAAAATTCGTGTTTTCAGTCAAAGTTTTGAGTTTTCATTAAGATCTTGGTGACTGAGAATTGATTTCTGATTATTAGTGAAAAATACAAGTATATGAAGAAGATTGGTAGAAAAAGAAAGTGAGAGAGCGAGATAGAGAGAGCGAGCTAAAGAGTTAGCTAAACTGAGACTTAGTAGCTTAAAAGCTAGAATTATGAAAAGGATCTCAATTGTATAATGTAAGACGAGCATTCAGAGAGTCAACAGAGCACTAAGATCCAAGAAGAGAGTAGCAATCCAATAACAATCCAAGAGAGTTAGAGCGTAAAGCAGTTTCAACTATGAAAAATGAGCGTCTTAGGCGTGGGAACTAAGAAGAGAAAATTTGGAAGTGATAACTGTAAAGAAAATATTATTTATTAAATATTTGATTTTGAGTTTTTTAAGAGAAGCCATTTTTTTCATACTTTGCTGTTTGACTTTTCTCCTTTTCTTAGATATTTTTTGTTACTCTGCTTAATCGAAAGTTACAATCTAATACAAACTTTTTACTTTAGTTGGCAAGCGAAGTCTCCAAGCTCATCTATTATAAATAGTTAAAGAAAAAACTAAAAAAAATTTGAAAATTTAAAAAAAAAATGTCTTCCTCCCCCTTCTTTACCTTGCTTCGTCACATGCAACAGCGTCTGCAAGTAACTTGAGCTAAATAAGATCTCTTGGCAACTTCTACTACATGAAACTTTTGCATATGTGCAGCGTGCCACATGCAACACGCACATACTGTTCGTGCAACAGCCAAGAAGAAAATTTTCACTTCGAGCCAAATAAGTATTCTTCATCGGTCTCTGCTGAGGCAAACACCCATTTCCAGGCATTTATCTAAGCAGCGGAAAACTTCAACTCCAACCATTGTTGTCCATCAGCACTAAATAGCAGCAGCAACAATAACAACAGGAGAAATGCGATTTTACGCCAACGCCAACTTTCTATAAAACTTGACTACACTGTTGCTGTTGTTGTTGTTGTTGTTGTTGTTTGCTGTTGCTTTAACATCACTTTCAGTTATAATTCTCCCCGCATTTTGAGTTTCCTGTGTCGCTTGGCTTATCTGTCTGTCTCAAGCGCATTTCTACATCCTTTCGCAGTGCCACCTAACCGTCCCGGCACTGCCCAACAACAACAGTCCCATTGTGCCACAAAATGTTGCTTATTTGTCTAACTGCCTTCGAAATGCATCCGTTAGAAATTCCAAGTATTTGCACATCTTTTGCAGATTTGTTGACAGACGACGACGTTGAGGCTGAGGCTAAGTTGCAGCAGCGCAGCATGCGACATGCATGGAAATCACGGTAAGTGTGTTGAGCAGCTGCAGCGCAACTCAAATGGCTTGCATACAATGAAACAATAGAAAAAAGTTGCTAGATGGATTATTTTAGGAATTTGCCTTACTCAACTCGCTCCCCAAAGGGTTGTGCGACATTCGTCGTGTGCGTTTGTCAGGCAGACAAACTTTTGACTTGGCGGCATCATTCGCCTAATGAGGTTTACCCGAAAAGTTAACACTTTGGTTTGTAGCGAAGCAGCGCTGCAGACTACATGTACGCAGCCAGTGTGGCAAGGCGACGTCTTCGCAAACAGGTTGCTGTGGCAAGCAAGTGCGATGCATTCATGCATGCAACACCTCCGTGTGGCAGCAAATGCATGACCGCAAAAGTTCGCCAACATTTGTTTCGTTTTGTCGCTCTCATTCTTGCGTTTGTTGGCGGAAGTGAACTTGCAAATGCGCCTTAAAGTATGCAATGTGCAATAAAGTTGACACAAATTCCAGCGAACTCTTGGCAAGACATTTGAATATATACATTTTATATACAAATATTTGACTTCGATTGCACATTTATTGCAACATTTTATTTCTTCTTTCTTCTCCATTCATATTTGCTTGGCGAAAGTAGGTAATTTTGGTGCTCAATGCATGCGTTGGCGGTTTATGTTATGTAAATTACTTTGTTAACTTTTAAATTGCATGCGATAAATGGGTTTGGCTTTTGCAATAGTTTGGCAGATCTTTGTATTTTGGGGGGTGTGTGTGTGTGTGTGTGAGTGTAAAATGACACTGTTTGTTATTTGCTTTATTTTTTGGAAATTGAAAAAAAAATAATTAAATAATTAAATTAAAAAATTATAAAAAAAAATTAAATTTTAAATAAAAAAAATTTAAAAAATTAAAATAAAATGTTTACAAAATGTCAACCCACAGCTGACCACTGACCAAAGGTAATGTAGGTATGTGTGTGCGTTATGCGTATAACGTAGGCTACCGAGAAGGAAACATTTTCAGGGAAGTGATCCAAGAAGGAGCAAATTTGAAAAAATCGGCCTCCAATAGCCAATTCTGGAGTACCTTCCTATTCAAGAATAGTTTTGTTTGTTATTCAAAACTAAACTAATTTTGTTTAGGTTAAAATGTGGAAATTGTTCTTTAAAGGCAGTTAACTAGTCTACGATCTGTATGGAAAAGTCAAATTTATGGTTCGGTTTGCTTGGTTTTAGGACTCAAACAAATATTTCAAAGAAAAAACAACAATCAAAAATCGTATTAGAACCATTTTGAAACTTCATGCCAACGATGTCGCGAGCAAAATCTGATAAGAAAATAAAAAAGTCGCTTTCTAATTTACTTTCAAACTCATGTAATTTCTTAGGAAAGTAAGAACCGATCTCAAAGAGTAGAGTCCACCAGTCGGTTGTCTAAAAGTGCGTCATAGAACAGACTAGCTTACAATTTATTAGTTACTAATTTTTTATAAATATTTTTTTTTTCATGTTTTAAATTAAACTTTCAATTATTTTATTTTTTTAATTCTAATTTATTTTAATAAATTTTCCTCAATCTTTTTCCACACTAAGATGAGTAAATATGAATAATTTATCAAAATTTCAACCTCATTTTCAGCACTTCATCATAATTAATACGCCAAACAAAATTCTGAGGGAAACTTTCTCTTGAGTTGTTCGTTTGTTTGTTTTTGTTTTGCTGTTTATTACAACAGCAGCTGAGACAATAGCGGCTACATTGCATCTACAGCCAAGAAGAAAGTTAAAAAAAAAAAGCAGAAGAGTAGGAAGGAAGGAAGGAAGTATAAGTACACACATATACAAATATACAAATAGAGAAGAGCACACAGCTGTGTTAACTGTATCCACTGCATTCTACTCTGCACGCTGAATGGGTGGCGGTGTTGTATTTCTAATTGTCGTGCCGACAGCGAATTTTGAACGCGAACTCATTTATGGTAAGACAAACTTTTTGTGCTAATTTATATGAAGGCGAGGAAAATATTTTTTTTTTTTTTTTTTTTTTTTTTTTTTTTTTTATACCAAAAAATACGAAAATGAAATTAACGCCACTTAAGTAAGCCACATGTATGCCATATATATATATAAATATTTAAAAACATGCGCTTGTTCTTTTAATGTTAATTTTAGCTTTCATTAATACTTCATACATTTTTTTTATGTTAATATTATATATATATGTATATATATATGTTGTTTATGTATTTTCGCTGCGCGCGTATGTGTGTGTTTATGTGAAATTTATCATGAATTTGTCGCTTTTCTCTCGTAAGTGTTGCTTACGCAAATTATTCCATTTTTAATATTTTTTTTTTGTTTAACTTTGCATTGTGCCAGAATTAATTACTTTATGACGTAATAAAAGTGTCGCCCATAAGTATGCTATAAATGTGCGTAATATAAATATTTTAGTATATATTGTTTGCGTGCGCATATGGAGGTGTATACATATATGTGGCATGAACTCCTTTTTGGAAATCTTCGAATTTATAAAATAAGTATTTTAGTCGTGGGTGGAATTTCAGCAGAAGAACAACAATGGTTTACTTAAGTTTAATTACTTTAAGAGTCTTGTAGCTTTTTTTAAATTTTATTTTTTTCTAGGACTATAAGACTCCTAATTTTTTTTCCAACTTTCCAACAAATTACGCGGCAGATAATGTAAGAGATCAGAAAATCATTGTTTTTTGTGTGGAAAATGAAGATGAGAAATTTATGCGGAAAATTAATATTTAATATATTTAATTAATTTATTTTTAACAAAATTGTAAGCCTTTAAGAAATTAAAAAAATTTTAGTAATGTTTTTTTTATTTATTTTTAATATTAATTTTACGTCATTTACATTTTCTTTATTGATTTTAAATATTTTCAAGTAGTAGTCGATTCGGAAAAGATTTCTTCTTTTTGAAGTTCGAAAAAATTCATATAAAAATTCATTTCAATTATAATTATTTTTTTTTTACTGAAAAGTCTAAAACAAAAATATTTTAAGATAGTAAGAGTGGCAAAAGAGTAGTTAAAAATGACAACTATTATTTTTAAATGATTTAAAAAGAAAATAAAAAAATAAAAAAATAAAAAAATAAAAAATATAAGTAGAAACTCTTTGTAAATGATTTTGGTAAAAAAGTTTAAAGAAATAAATCAGAAAAATATTTATATGTTATATATATATATTTAATTAATAATTTTTAATAATTCTGAGCCGGAAAAAATTTTATTAAATAATCTGGTTAATTCTACGAAAATTTTCTTGAAATTTGGATTAAAAAAAAAAAAAAAAATTTAAGAAAAAAATAGGATAGAGATAAATATACAATAATAAAAAATTAATGAAAAAACTACTGAAATGTTATTAAAAACATTTTCAAATTTCAAATTTTATACTAAATAAAAGTAAAATATATAGCAAAATCAAAGTAAAAATATTCTATAAAATATCTAATTTTCGCATATTAATTTCATTTAAACATTACCCACTCTGTAAATCATTTTTTTTCTCAACCAATGTTTTATTTTCTTATTTTGTTTTTTTTTTTTTTGTGTTTCAAGGAGGTGTGCACGCAAGTCACTCGCAGTCGCACTCACAAATGCTAAGCACTTGAGACTTGCGCTTGTGCGATATAGAAACAGCCCACAATATGTCACATACCACAAGAAAGAGCTTACCTTCAGTGAAAACTCAAACTAGTTAGAAAAAGCACTAGTTTACGACTAGAATTTGTTGACTAAAAACTTACTAGTCGTTAAAGTAACAAATTGGTTAATGCTTCTTCGCAACTTATTTTATATATTTTTAATAAAATAATAATAATGTAAAATTATAATATAAAATTATCACCATAAGTACTTTAAAATTAGAAAACATTGCCGCAAAAAAAGTTTGTTTACGCTGAGAGTAACATTCTAACTAGATTCGGTTCAAAATAAAGCGCTTAAAGCAAATCGGCTTCTAAGGAGTAATTTATTAACAATAGTATTTTGTTTTATTAGCATAATTTCTTATTGGAAGAAAAATTTGGAGCAAAAATGAACTAGTCCGAAAGTAGTCCATTTTGAACTAGTATTGTATTAGCACATTTCTGTTTGAAATCTGGCAATTGCTGTTTCGAAATACATTGCAATACTAAAAAATATTAGTTATTTGTCGTAAAAGAGGATTCACTAGTTCACCGTGCTTAGCTTACTAGTTTCAAAGTAGTTTTTAGCTAATTCACTTCAATACAGGTGGATATCCGAATGCTTACACAAAATAAATACCCACAAATCTCTAACTTATGTACGTACATTTGTATGTATGGCTGAGTGTAAGCGCATTCAAAAGTGGCAAGCATGTTGGAGCACTACAAATGATATAAATAAAACATGACAGATCATAAAAAGTTAGCAAAATTGAGTTATCTCCATGGATGTATGTACGAGTAGAGTGCATGTAAGTAGTTGCGCTCTGTAGTGGCAGTAGTGGTGGTGCCACTGAGTAATAGTGCTGATGTTAGATCCGCCCACCTACGAAGCTTATGGGCTGCTGCGACTGCTGCTGCTTGAGCACTCCTTCTCGGTGGCACATGAGTGTAGTAAACGCATAAATTGCAAAATCAGCGCATTGTTGTTGCTGTTGTTGTTAGCGAACACTACACACACGTACACGTACATATGTGACTTACATGCAGAGAGTGTTGTAAATATTTCGCTTATAGCTTTCAGCTTTCAAACAGTAGTTATTCCGTTGCACGCTGTGTTTTTGTCGCTGGATTAAACGGATGTTGCATTAACACTTAAGTAACTTTTCGCATAAATAGCTTACAAATCTGCTAACGGCATATCCGCTGCTACTCGATATTGTTTGTCATTGTAGCTGCTACTCCCGTTGTTGTTGTTGTTAAAAATATTCAGGGACACTTATTGCTGCGATGCGCTACCCGCTGCTGGCAATTTGCAAAAGCTTGTTAGCGTGTATATATGTATGAATGCATGCATGCATGGAAGTGTGTGTGTGTGTGTGTGTGTATGTGCGCTGCATTTAAATTGAATCTAAAATTGTCAACAACTAATGTCACTCTTTTATTAAACTTAGTTAAGCGCTTATTTATTTTCCTGCATATCTAAACACCTTCACATACATACATACATATATGTAAATATATGCTAAGCAACTTGACGGTTGGAAAATCCGAATGAAATGAGTTAAATAAGTGGGTCACAGAGGTAAATAGCATATGAAAGTGTTGGAGAATTTTAGATTATACAGAACATCAATAAAAATTGAGAGGTACGAGACTAGATAAATACCGGTAAAACGGTACTACAATTAAAGCTAACTTGCCACACTGAAAGAGCTATTTTATTTTATTCTATTTTATTTTATTTTATTTTATTTATTTTATTTTATTTTATTTTATTTTATTTTATTTTATTTTATTTTATTTTATTTTATTTTATTTTATTTTATTTTATTTTATTTTATTTTATTTTATTTTATTTTATTTTTTACGATATTTGGAAACAATTGTCAATGCAATATTATGAAACAAACAAAAAAATACTTTATGTTTTTAACTAAATCTTCGACAAGTCCTTATGTGGTTGCACATATTTATATACATAGAGATATGCTGATTGAAATGATTATATAAGAAGGTTTCAAAGTCAAAATTTATTCGATAAACAATTTATTACTTTTATGATTTACATACATACATACATACACGCGCATTTCCGCTGACAAAGCAATCACAACGAGTCAATAGAAAAACAGGCTCAACTAATACACACACAAAAACAAATGAGGTTGTGAATACAATATTTTCTTCAGCGGTTTGTATATACATACAAGTGTATGTGGCATAATAAATTCATTCGCTAACCACAAAAACCACGCGATTGTCTGCTATCAAATGCTTAGTAATATGTCTTTGCCTGCTTGCGAAATATAGCGAAATCTACGCGAATTTTTCTTCTTTTCCGTTTACATTTTTATTTTTCTTTTTAAAGGCAGGCAGGAAGCGGCTCAAGTAGCTTAGAATGAGTTATGTAAAATCATTTGATTAATGTTAGTTTTTCTCTCCTACCGCTGCCAGCAGAACAGCAGAGCACATCACGTCACTGAGCAGCAAGAAAAACAAAGCGAATAACACTAACGGTGTCATTTTCAAACAGAAAAGAAAGCAATTTGACTTGAATCGGGGAAAGTAATGATGTCAGGGTTGCTGATGTTTTTTTATTTATTCTTCTTTTGTTGCTGTCACACTAGGAAAATAAAGGGAGTGGAAATATCTCGAATAAATAATATGAGAAGAAATATATATATATATATATATTCACAACAGATAATGTCTTTTAAATATATTTTAAAAATAAAAAAATAATATAGTTTTAAAAATTTTTAGCTTTTTTCCTACTGGGCATGCACCAACAGCATAAAGTTGTTGTGGGACACGAAATTTTGTGACGACGCCAAGATTAGGCGTTACTTTGGTGCCACGGAAATGATAAGTAACATTAAGATGATAACGGTTATGTACTTTTTTTTTCAAGCCCGACTACATCAGGAAACTACAAATACTTAGAAGTTAAGATTTATACACATGAGCTTTACTTCCTGCTTAGTGCAAAGTAACAAATGCTTAAGAGAAGTGAGATTTCACACCTAAAATTGTTGTTGGTGTTAAAGGTGGTGGCAAACTAGATGTAATTTTCAAAAATTTCACAGTTATAAGTGTGAACAAAAGGATATTGAATATTGAATGCTTTCTCAAGAAGGAAGGAGTATCTAATGTGGCTCAGCGACACATTGTACGGTTGATTAGTTTCCGAGGAAAATTTGTCAGTCCCAGCGACGTAGGGTTACCTCTGTCACATCGAAGACGGCCTTAAAACATAAAAGAGAGATAGTGAGCGCTGATGCTATCCTCTCGGGTCTTTTCACAAAACTGGTC